AACTTATTGATGGGGTAAGCCAGATTGTAACTGAAAACAAAAAGGGTACGCTATATTTTTCGGTGTTAGATTTGAAATATGCGTACAGTCAACTAAAATTGGCTGCTGATACAGCTAGACAATGCAATTTTAACATTGTGGGTGGAAAAGCTACTGGAACTTACAGATTCTTGACAGGGTTCTACGGTCTAGCAGATATGCCAGCTGAATTTCAAAAGGCTATGGATAGAACCATCAATCACGCTAAAAACACGTTCTGTTTTCTGGATGACATACTTATTGTGTCAAAGGGAAGTGAAATCGAACATGCAAACTTAGTAGAAGCAGTACTAAAGAAATTGGATGCGGAAAACTTGGCACTGAAACTCTCAAAATGTGAATTTTTTAAACAAGAAGTGAATTGGTTGAGTCACCATCTCTCAGAAGAAGGGGTTAGACCGAAAATCACTAAAACGGAAGCCGTAGTAAACTTGAACCAGCCGAAATCCCTAAAACAACTAAGGTCATTTCTAGGAAGCATAAATCACTTAGCTAAATTTATACCTAACGTAGCCAGTCTGACTGAAAAATTAAGACCACTTCTTAAAGAAGAAAATCAAAAGAAAAAGTTAAAAAACATGAAACTCCCGGTGAAAAAATTCGAGTGGGGGATGTTCACACAGTAGCATTTAATGCTATAAAAGGAGCTGTGGCAAATATTACGAAAGTGCATTATTACGATGCAAATCGTGAAACACGAGTTAAATGCGATGCTAGCCATGATGGGCTAGGGGCTACTTTAGAACAACAAAATGATGAAGGGTTGTGGGCCCCAATTTCGTTCGCATCCCGATACCTAAATGCCCAAGAAAAAAAATATTCAACAAATGAGTTGGAATTATTGGCAGTTGTTTGGGCAGTAGATAGATATAAACACTACCTTCTGGGGAAACCATTTACCATCGCAACTGACCACAAAGCGCTTACAACAGCATTGGATGTTAATCAATCGAACAAGACCTACCAATCACGTTTAACCCGGTGGGTTGACCGGTTACTGCCATATCAGTTCAACATAGTTCGCATTCCGGGGAGGGACATGGGCATAGTTGATTATTTATCGCGTGATCCTTTCAATGATCCCTGGCCCGAATCAGAATTAGACGAAAAGTTTGTAGTAGCAACAATAAACTCTTTTCATGAAGCGTTCGACTGCTGGAACAGTAGGCTTAAAGACTCAAGGTCGCTCAACCGGAACGAAAAAGTTCTAGAATGTTCCAGAAGGAATGTTACGAAACAGTCATCAAGTAATGGTTGCTATAGCAACCAAAACGGTCAAAACCGAACAAGGCTCGACCGGAACGAGAGAAAACAGTTTCCACGACTGCAAAAACAGCTAAACACAACAGTTCAACAGAAACAAATCACTTTTTCGTCAAATCAACCCACTAAACAGTCAGTCTTAAATAATTGCAAAATCAAAAAACGATCAGTAACGAGCAAAATAGAAAAAACAGACTCAAGGATCGAGATGTCAGAAAATAAAAACAGAGCATATGACTGGTGGTCAAACTCACCACAAGAATGGCGGAATGAGGAGCGCGAAGAAAGCATAATGGACCCAAAGTGGAACCGATCACTTTCCACCAATAACGAACTCTCGGAAGAGGAGGAGATCACAGAGACAGTACAACGCACGAGAAAAATAATACGAGGAGGCAGAAAAAATAGGGACAGCTCCGACAGCGAAACACGTCATGCACAACGAGTAAAATGGTCGTTGGAACCGGAACAACAACGAGTAGCGGATCAAAGACTGCTCTCATTCTGGCAGTTAATAGGCGGAGAAAACAATGTTCAAGAAAATCGAGAACTGGTGGCTCATACCCAAGAAGTCAGGGACAACTTGGAACACGAATCAAGTTCAACATCGCCAAAACCGAGCGCATCGACGGAACGAAAACTCAGTGAGGTGAATGTAATAGAAGTAGACCTGACAACCACAGAAGAGGCGGAGAGTGAGGAGGAAGTGTGCTCAATTCAACCGCCAAAGGGACTAGGAAAAACAGGACTGCAAAAGCAGAAACAAGTGGAGACTCTGGACAACCTCGCAAAACTGTTCGACAAAAACTTACTAGCAGAACTGACCACAGAAGACACGTGGATGGACCGCCTCAGGAGAGTGGTAGAGAGAGGGGATAAACAAGGATTCGAATTGATGGGACCCTATACAAATCCTTTGTGGTCACAGATGGCAGTTCAGGACGACTGCATCTTGGTGAATAATCGGCTAGCAGTACCAGTTCAACTACAACAAGCTGTCCTGAAACGAATCCATCGAGGACACCCAGGTCAGGAGGCTATGTTGGGAGCAGCGCAATATCTGTGGTGGCCACACATGAATAAGGACATCGTGAATTTGGCAGAGGAGTGTCGCAGTTGTACCAGATATGGTAAGAATGTAAAATACCTTATTTCGAAAAATTCGTCAAAACCATTGCCACTGCTCACGCAGCCGGGACAGGAGGTACAACTAGACTACGCGGGGCCTATAGAAAATCAAAAAGGAAAAAAAAATCTATCTTTTAGTAGCTATTGATCGATTCTCAAAATTTCCATCAGTGAAGGTTACAAAATCCACAAGTGGAAAGAGCACAGTAAAATTCTTGAGATCATATATTGACACACATGGAGTCCCTGAATCAATTAGATCGGATCAATTTTCAGGATTTAAGGGAAAAACTTTTAAAAAATTCTGTTCGGAACTCAATATCGAGCAAAAATTCTGTCCGGTGGGGGATCACAGAGGTTGTGGTTTGGTTGAACGTACAATTCAAACAATAAAAAGAAGACTGGGAGTGATGATGCTCGATGAAAATAATAAATCAATCAAATTATGCCTCAGCATTATAATGAGAGACTTACGGTGGAACAAGCAGAAAAGAATTCAAGTATCTCCGTTCCAAGCACATTTCGGCAGACTACCAAAAACAGAATTTAAAATTGTGAGGGATAAATTTTTGAATAATTCTGATTCTTTAGACAAACAACACTTGGAACGCTCAGCACTGACTGCTTCTCAAATGAAACGAAGAATTGATCAGTCGAGAGAGAATCTAAAGATAGTGCGCAAGGGACAACTGAGCAGGGATACAAGCCCACTGCACAAGCAGCAGATAACATCAGACAGAGACAAAGAAAGAGCCAAAGCCCTAAAGGAATTGTTGGAAGCGAACGCCCGCTGGAACTACGAAAGAATGGACGCGGCTAAAAATGACATCCGGAAATTAGTGGACGAGACAGGGCAACTCAATCCCGATCTCCGAAAGGAAATGATCTACTCTTGGGAGAAGGGATTTGTGGAGGACAAAATAGAAAACCAATGCAAGTCACCAACCAAGACTATACTTCGAAAGGACCCTCTTCGGAAAAGCGGACAAGCCTTAACCAGACCACTAAAGGGGAAAATCGTTTCAGAAACGGACTCAACAATTAGGACATCAGCCGGTTCGATCTATAGGAAATCGGATATAGCTCAATCAAAAACGGTACTGACGCAAGAAAACCAGCGAAGCACGAGTAAAAGTCCATCGTCAGAACCTACCAAAAAGTTTAAGCGAGTCAGCTCTCCAGAACGACTAGAGGAGCTGGGATCAGAGGACGAACTTCAAGGAGAAATGGAAATCGCTGATACAATGAATCCAATAGAGCGCTTTCAGAGGAGCCAAACAATAGTCACTTCAAAGGACACAGAAGCCGGGGGAGGCCTGAATCTTGCAGTCAAAAGAGCAAAACCCAATTTGGCGGGACCAAAACCAAATACAGAGGAAAATATCACAAACAAGCCGGAAAAGAGCGGAAAGGAAAAGAAAGGCCGAAGCAAGAAACAACAGGGGACAAATCAAGCTGCGACTGCAGCAAACTCGGAGCAAGAGAAAGCAACATCTAAGCCGGAATCAGACACAGTAGATACCAAAATTCAGTCAAGTTCTACGCCAAAAGCAAAACAGCGTCCGAAACTGAAAGGCATTGACTCTCACACCCCTCTTGAAGATATCGTGGACACATTTCACAATCGAAATTTGGCACCGTCTGAATGGGAGAAGTACGCGGACCAATTGTTAAAAAGAAGAGTGCAGCGAGTTGCGGATGAACTTCGAGAAAATCCTCAACAAAACTCGGAACTGGACACAAACTTCGAACCACCACAAGGATTCTCGGACGAATCAAGTGCAGAAGAGTCAGGTATTAGACGAAGTTCGAGACAAACAAAAAACAAAGAACCCAAACGATTCGGAGATCCGATAAAACATTCAATCAAAGAAATATCCGAAAACCTTACAGGTAGAGGTCTTCTAAAGGAGGCACTTAGACAATACAGAAACCAACTGAGAGATTTTAAAGATCGGGACGACAGACCATTAGAATCGAAAGTGCGACGACTCGAAAGACATCTATTTATGCGAAAATTCGGATATGCTACCTTGGATGAGGGAGTCGATTGGAACCCGAGTTGGGAAATCGAGCTGGAGGAAAACTGAGTAAATTGAACTATTTAAATAAATTATCCTACTGATGTTGTATACTTTATTTCTTTCACCGTGGGGGGTGTATTATACCGCTACTGCAGTAGCAGTATTTATTATACGTATGTACATCTAACCTCTGGTGCTCAATCATTATTTTATGGTATTCTCAAGGTCATACGTAAGTGTTGACACTGAGATTAAGCGAGAGATCAGAGTACTTAACAATGATCTATCTCTCAGTACATAAGAAACCAAGAAAAGAGAAAATCTAAATTCAATATTCAGAATACAGTATTGAATTACAACTTGTTTTCAATTGATATCGCAACGCATATCACAGAAACATAGTATTTTACTACCTTAAAATTGAACAGAAAAACTGTTATTTTGAACTAATCGTTTCGTTAGATTCAAAAAAAAACATTCAATTCAGTTAAAAGCTTTTAAAAACAATTAAGATAATTAATAAATAATTTGATTTGATGGATATAGATCCGCCAGCAGCCAAAGTGGTCGGAGTTTCCCCCAAGCTTCAATTTGGTCAGATCAAACACCAGGGCAACAGACAGTTCCGACCTTCAATCAGGTATGAGACGAGCGGATCGACCAAACATCACCACGCGTTTTAGATTAAGAAACCGTCAAAACTGGATAAAATTTTGATTTTTGGGAGTTGATGGAATTTGTTTCTATTGCCTTAATTTTGACGGGTAGAAATTTTACTCATAGAAGATTAAAGTGCATATCTGCCTCAAAATTCAGTCTAAAAGCACAAAATTAAGCGTCGGTTTTTATTAATCTTTAAAAGTTTATCAAAATTTTTAAGTATTTAGGGTTTAACTAAAAAGAATGAAATAATAATTCGCATGGAAAATTATAGAGAAAATTGTAGGAAAAACTTTCACAAAATGTGTTTTTACTTCTTTTTCAGGCCACAATGGCGGGGGAGCAACTTTCCCCTCCATCTCCCGCCCCACCCCAAATGCCAGTGCCACCACAGCCAGTCTCACTGCAGACTTCCTCCACTCCAAGTCCAAGACAGGTGAGCCAGTTAAATGAATAATTACATCGTTAGCATTTTTTGACAGGTCACAGTTAATTTGTAAGTTGAACGAACGCGAGTAAGTTTTCTCAAAAACTGATTGCTTGAAATCTCACTAAAGATTATTAGAAAAAAGTTTTTAATTAAACTGCACAATGATCAATTGCGATTGGAAGTTTTTTCAAAACGGGTTTTGAAATCCTTTACGGTAATTTATTATTGAAAAATAGGAATTCAACTTTTTTGGTAAATTTGCACAATATTCAATTTTGGTCCCAATCCGTTTTGCTCTTTACCCTCGCTTTACCCCTCCAGTAAAAAACTTTGTTTAAAGAATGGTCAAAAACAGAAATGATAAAGTTATAATCATTTCACAATGAATTCCATTTTTTGCGTCTCTTGCAAACTTGGTCTGGAAGTAAGGAAAGCATCTGGGACCTCAAAAGTCGTGGAATCGAGTCTGACAGTACGGGAAATAGTCAGTTTCAAAAAAAAACTTGAACTTGTCGGCTAATGATTGTCTGCTTATGTTTTGTCCGCTTAGTTTCCCTGTTCTAGAACTGTTTTTTTTTTAGTTTTATACATTATAGTCGCTTTTATGTGTTCTGATCTACTTCTGATGTTTATAATTTTACTAGCCTTGACTTTGTATTTTTTCTTCTTTTAAAAAAAATTATTCTGCCCAAATTATTTCGGCCTAATTGTTATCGGCTTAGTGGCCTAATTTTTGGGTCGTTTCAACAGAAACATATTTTTTATGCTCATCTCTGGATCGCACAAAAAGTCGAAAATCTTAATAGAAAATATATATCAAGTTTTTGAAATATATTTTTTCAGCTTTTTTTGTTTTTTTTTTCTTCTTTTTTTGTCGGCCTGACTGGTTCTGGCCTACATTATATCGGCTTATTGGCCTTATATTGCGTTTTTTGACGAGCAAAAAAAAGTTGTTGTATTCGTATTTGTGTTTTGAGGGTGATGGGGACTTGATAGCTTCTTATTAATATTGATCTGCATTCCGTCTCTAGAATCCAGGAACATACAGACATAAAATTGTGCGCCTATCCAGTGCACAATTTGGCCTCGTAATGTGGTATTTTTTTTTCTTTTTTTGTAGGCCTCATATCTTTCAGCCTATATTATATCGGCTTAATTGTCTAGTTGCATATTGTTTTTTTTTAAAAGCAAATAAAGATTTTTAAAGTTTTCGTGTGTTTTGAGTGTGAGGAGGACTTTTTAAGTTTTCATTTGTTGATTTTTTTTCGGCTTAAAGGGTTTCTGACCAGGTATTTTTGGCTTTGTTACCGCCTGCATCATCTTCCAATGCTATTTTCACATTCTTTTGTCTTGCATTTTTTTGTTTCAAAACTAGCCTTAATCATTATGAAAGACCTCATTTTTTCGACATTTTCGAACCTTAACGCTGGCTACATCATCTTCCACTGCTAATTTCTCATTTTATTGTCTTGCATTTTTTTTGCTTAAAACTAGCCTTATTCGTTTTGAAAGATCTAGCTTTTTCGACATTTTTGATTTTTTTCCCAATTTTTTCTTGTTCTGTTCTGCTAGTGTATAGCTCAGCTTTGCCAATGTGTCAAAAATGTTGAAAAAAAAACGCTCAAGTTTTCTCAAACTCCCTTGGGTTAAATCCTATGTCCTTTGGCCGGGTCATAGCGCGCGAAATTCTAAAGTATTTGCAAATAAGCACTACTTAAAAATCTAATGAGAATCTTATTAGAGTCTTACAAGCTTTTGGATTTCACTTTGGAGCTAAACCTCTTTAAAAACTGGTTGATTTGAAACTTGATTTCCTTTCAGGTGTGAACAAAAAGCTGAACAGCAGTTGGCCAGTGAAGGAGAAGCCAGTTAGACTGGAGGAGATGGAGAGAGAGCTGGCTCACAAACTCCTTCAGGACATGATCGAAACCAGCTCCGGTAACTAATTAATTTAAACTAAAGTCAATTAGTAAACAAAGTCCTGCTAAGAGACAATTTGGGGACTATGACCTCTAGTTGCATGCATACCGTTTAGCATGCGGCTATTAGAGCAATTAGACTGAAGTGTGTTAACTCACATTAGCAACTAAAACTCAGACCGATTGCGGTTTGAGCAACTTTTTTAATTGCGCATACTAAGCGGCACGCATGCAGGTCGCTACACCCCAACCTGCACTTTGAACAGTTTTGTGAAAATTTTGATCAGTTCCGGGCAGTAATCAATTCAAGCCACAAAATGATTTACCCAGGTCGGGTCCGCGACTTGTTCTTAGACTTCCAAAAATGCGCTTATGCGATTTTCGCGACAAAAAATTCAAATTTTGGACAAAATTTTTATGGTCGCAGACAAAGTCTAAAACTTTGGGTCGCGATAGTCAATCAGAGTCTTCCGAAGAAACATTTTTTTTTCGATTTTTTTTGTGGGATCTACCTTTTGTTTTGTTGCCCTTTCTTCAACAGTGACTGAACAAAGAAGGTGTAACTTTTTGCTTCCAAGCCATCGCCTGCCAATCATAACTAGTTTTATTTTCCGATACTTACATATTTTCATTAGTCGGAAAGTTGTTTTATTTCCTTAGTGAAATTTAATTGAATAATAATATATATATACAACGTTGTTTGATTTGAAATCATGAGTAACTGTGGTTCTTAAGACTCGGTCAAAGACAGTTCCTGAATCTCAATTTTGACAGCTATGGTCGCGGGTTTGACTATGAATCCGTTCTGAAAATTTATCACGTCCTTGTGCAATTTGAATTCCCGATAACCCCAACTGTTCTCGCCATTCTCAAAAACAGTTGTTGAATATATATAAGCTATGCAACTTTCAGCCATGGTTTTGTTCAACAGAGTAAATCTATACTTAATTTGAAGCATCCAGGTATCCTTTGGTTCCACAGGTTCGATTTGCAGATGCAATCCAAGCCAATCGTCATTATCTACTTTGCTCACTTCAGCTCGAGCTCTGAAGTTGAAATCACGAACTCGATAAAATGATGAATTCCTATATTCAGTGTTTTCAAATTGAAACGGTATATTGTCAATTTTTGATATAAACTCGAAAGGCTTCATATCATAATTTAATTTCCAGCTTTCGTTTTGAGCACCAAATTCTGCATGTAGAAAAGCTTTTAACTCCGGGCTAATAGCTGCTGCACTGTCATCGACAATTTTATTCACCATTGTTTTAAACTTTTGTTGTTCTTCGAGTTCTTGTTTTCTCAGTTGTAACTGATTTATTTCGTGATCAATTTGATATAACTTCAAATCGAGATCTTTGAGTTTAGGTTGCAGGTTTTGCGCCTGTTCCTTCAAAACCGATTTGTAGCTCCTCAAATTATGCTCTGAGTGATAATTATCAACACAAGAGCTGCATAGTGGTGTACAGCAGTCCTTACACCACATTTTCATATCCGCTGCAGCATGAGCACACACTTCTCCCATCTTCACGCCATTATTGTCAATAGACAAAACCCCAATTGCGTCCCGAATTCCGTAAAGTGGATTCAAATCACTTACTTTCACTTGAAAAACTTTGCTGCAAACTGCGCATTTCGAAGCTTGGCCATTGTTGTGTTTGATATAGTCCAGACAGTTTTTGGGAGGACCACAATATGAGTGTCCACAATGGAGCGCTCGTGGATCCACCAGAGTTTCAGTGCAAATTGAGCATTTGAGAGACTCGGATATGGTTGCTGTTGCCATTGTTCACTCGCTCGAATATAAAAGAATGTTGTATTCAAAGTATGTATATCATAAATTTTGTATTTAAAAATTGAAAATGTATTTTTTTCTCGTTCGAAAGCGTTTTACATAAGCAAAAACAATTTAATCATTAATCGTTTCAAAATTGTACGCTAAAGCACGTTAGCTCTTTCATTCTGGCGCCATATCTTTGTAGCAAGATAGCTCATAATCTGGTTTTGTTTCTAAAATTCAGCTTCAGATGCTATTTAAAACCTTTTCAGCAAAACTTTCTTCTTAATGCATGTTGTATTCAGAAGTATTATGTATCACGAAAAATTTGTCTATTAGAAATTTAAAGATATAGTCAGTTTGTTTAATGTTAGAACGCACATTGACAATAAAACAGTATGAATTTTGGATAGTTTTAAACAAGTCATTTAATCTGATCATTAGTTTTTTTAATGAAAATTAACTAAAGCACGTCAGTCCGTTAATTGAGGTGCAATATCGTCTTGGCAAGGTATCTCATAATACAGTTTTCATTTTTGAAATTTCAGCTCAACATGCTACTCAAAACATTCTATGAAAAGCCATTCATCTGAGGTTGTACTCACAAGTATTTTACAAAAAATGTCAAAAAAAAATAAAAAAGCCGTAAGTTTGCCCCATGTTGCACATTGAAAAAAGAACAGTGTGAATTTTAGAAAATTTTGAACAAGCCATGTATTCTGATTATTGGCCACGTTTTGAAAATAAACTAATACGCGTACGCAGTTTATTTCTGGCACCACTTAGTCATACCATCTAAAAAACAATTTTTTTTGTCGACAGTGTTTTGTGTTGTTGAACTGGCCCTTTTCCACTCCTCCTCTCACATTTTAAATGTTACGTTTTTTTGTAGTTGTTTTACGTGTTATTATGGCTGAATGCTTGATTTTACTATCCAAGGTAATGAAAACTAATGTGTTCAAGATAGTTAATTTGTTCACCATGCAAAACTTCGTTTTATTATGACAACGTGAAAAATGTTTTCTCAAACATGAATTTCAAACGTCAGGGTGGATTGAAAAAAGTTTTTAAAATTTATGAGAGACTAATTTTGAGCGGATCTTTAGGAAAATACAGAATTCACAAAACTCATATTCGTTTAAATTTAGGCGCAACAAAGTTTTTTTGCCATTTAATTTTTGCAGTTCGTGAACAAAGCATCCTGCATTCAAAGCTCAAAAAGATAAAGTGAATTTTTTACAAATATTGTTTTTTTTCACAAATCAAAAAATTTTTAAAAATCCGGCATCGCATTCAAATACTCTCAATTTTAGATTTTTATCAAAATATGAAGTCTTTTACGAGTACCCATACATGAAACTTTCCAGACAATGAAGTTTGTTTTCAGACAAATTTTTCATTCTTCAGAAATAACCAATTTTTGATAATTATAGATGAAAACTCTTTTCTTCGTTTAATCAACTCAAAGCTAAATAAAACCATAGATCTGTTTTCATCGACGAGGAATCTTTTTTCTTAAGTTTTTTTTTAGTTTTAGACAAAACTCGACAAACTGAGTTGAGGCTGACCTACAAAAAAAAACCTCTTTACAGTTTCAGCGTTATTGTTCCGACTTTTGATACGAAAGTGACGAAATTGTTATCCTGAGCTTAAATTTGAAAAGATATTTCACCTGTGATCATTTTTCGTAAAGTTATGAGGGTTTAAAGATTGCCATTTTGGCCAATTAGGGACAATTAACGCGCGATATATTTCGCACTATTAACGCGTAAGCGAGAGTTAATCCGTCTTAGAAATCGTTCCAAATTGGTTGAAAGAAGCTTATTTGCCATAATCGATTTGTTACAAGGAGCTAGATCTATCCTTTTGTACTTTATATGGCGTGTGGGGGGATGATTTCATTTAAAAAAATCAAATTTTAGGGAAAAAAAATTCTTTTTGTTTTATTTCATTCCGTTTTTTCATGTTACTACTGCGCCATAGAACTTAAGAGGCAGTCGGAACATTCAGGGCCTCGCCCTGATACGAGCAGTCTTGTTTCGTTCATTACTTTTTATGTCTATACTTTTTACCAAATTTTTCTATTTAATCAACCGTTTTCGAGGAAAAAAATATCAGGAAAATTGTGCTAAGAATGAAAACAAATATGGAACTTTTTTTTGCTATGAAATTTTTTTGACGATTCAATCGCATAAAGAAAGAAGTAGCAGTTTTTCACTTGATCTGGCAAAACTCTAAAATTCATAAAAAACCAAAACATAGATAGTCTTTGTTCTGCAAAACACTTTTTTCCAGTGTTCCGACCACAGATTTTTGAAAATTCATTGCTTAAAGGTAAAGTGTCGAAACATTCTGCTATTTGCACAGCAACCGGTTATTCTTGTTATGATTTTCATTTGAGCTAAGTAGATTTCAATGTTTTTTCAGATGAAGCAAAAACTGTTTCTTGCTTTTGTAAGCGAATGAATGAATATTCATACGGACGCTATTGACTTTGCTAGCAGTTTTAATCTGATTAATGAATACAATCAATTGTTTTCTTGAACTTTGACTTGCCTTGACGAGTTTTATAAGTAATTTTTGATTTTTTTATCATTTATTGCATGCAAGTAAATTTAAAAAAAATCAAAATTTAACATAAAGAGCACCCTTTTTCACAAAATTACAAAAAAAAATGAATCTCGGCGAAAGATTAAGATATTTCTTTTGAAAAATAGCTTCATAAAACATTGTTGCTTTTGGTTTTGTTTTTAGTTTGAGGGTTGTTGTTTGAGTCTTAGTCTATTTCTCGATTTATCAGCACTGCAGTAAATATCAGATGAAATCACGCAAAGTAGAACATTGATACAGCTCACTGTTTGATTCGGACTCCGAATAATGGTTTTAAAAGTTTTCAATGAAATAATTTAAGAATACCTTAGCGCTATCAGAGGCTTAACGAAATGGGTCATCAAAATGTCAAATATGATAAATATTTTGTCTTCATTGAACAGTCAAAATAATTTGGTTGATTTCAAAAATGTCTGTACTCAGAATAATCTGAACCACTAGCACATCAACAATTTCTCAATTCTTTGATTTTAAAATTGTTATCTGCATCTTTTTAGGAAAAAAGAAACCAAAAAAATCTATCACATTAATTTCGCGTTTAAGTCTGCGATTTCGGTTTAGACTTTTCAGTCACATTTAAAGTCGTCTACTAAAATTGTCAACTTACTCTCACTATCGAACAAATAAACTGCCTACAAAGTTAAGCAAAAGCGCTCCCATCACGCCAAAATTGTGAATCTTCCGACTGTCTTTCAATGTTTTTGATGTAGCATTTTGCAAAATAAACTATTTAAAAAAAACTTTTGTCTGCACGGAATGTATATCAAGTAAACCACTTAAATTGTGAGGTTTTGGAATTCATATTTCAATTGAAGAAAGTCAACTTTTTCTACCATTTAATGTGTAAAAATAAAAAATGACAATAAGCTAACCTCAACACATTTTTGGTTTGGATTTTCCCTGATCTTGATTCTTAATTTCCTAATGCTTCGAGTTAGACGAAAACTGAAAAATTCGTGCGCTAAACTGGCAATCATCAAAGTTTTACAAAAATGGCTTTCAATGGATATCTGGAATTTACCAGAATTTACAAAAATTTGTCAAAAAATGGAAGAAGAAAAAACCACCCGGGAGCAGAATTTTTGTCAATTTTTTCAAACAAAAACGATACCTCCATTAATTTTCCAGAGTAGGTTTTTTGACATCAAATTCCAGCAGAAATCTGAGTAAAAGAAGGAGAAACTTCATTAAAAGTTCTGTTTGCTGATCCGATGTAGCCCCAATTTTGTCCCAGACTGTTAAGTTAGGAACGTAATCGGAGTTCTAAATTATTGTTTCTTCGGTTACGGGATAATTTGTTTTTAACCCAGAAAATAAACGATTTTTTCTGTTTTTTGATGTTTCTCTGCAACTATTTGTGATTCAGCGTGGTAAATTTTAGGCTGTAAATGATTGACTTAAAGTTTGATTGTTTCGATTTGCTGTTGCATTTGACACGTTATTTCGATCGAGCTCGTTGAAAATATTCCGTTAATTCAAATAGTTTTAGAAAGAACTTAAAAAATATGATTGAAAACTTCAAAGCTTGTCCAAAAGATCAACCAGAATACGGCGTGCATTTTTTAAAGTTTATTAAATTCTTCGATTATGTTGGTATTGTATTGAATGGCAGAGGCACTAGTCTTCTGAATCTTCAAAAAAAATTCTTACTCTTTTCTTTGTACGACAAGGATACTCATTCCATTGAGTTGAGATGAAAGCAAGTTTTCAATCCAATCAGATAAATTTGGTTTTGCTTTATTAACTATGTGAACATTTCAGCTCCATATTTAAATTACTTGCAGAAAAAAAACGTGGAAACGCTAAGAAAATGTTTGTTTATTTGCTAGGTTGATAAGAAAAGAATATGAGCTTTCTTTTCCTGACTGTATTAAATGAAAAATTTTCAAGTATGGGTTGAATATCATTTGACTTAATTCGTTAATTCATTTGTTGGAAAATGAACAATGTTCGGTACTAGTTTAGACGTATGATCCCGCAGTTTTGATGAGTTTCTTTTAAAAGCTCGTTTAGAAGTATCTTGCCGCCAAAACACTTGAAATATATTTGAACTAATTCAAGCGAATGTAAACTAAAGGAAAAGTTTTAATCATTTCCTAGTTATATTTGCCACTACAGTTTTGTTTAAAATGAACTTATCAAACATATTAATTAATAGGTAAAACTTGGGTCTGTTGGTAGTTTAATGGAACCATACATCTAAACGAGGTCTTTAAAGTGATCATACTTCTGAACGAGTACCCAGTGTTTGCTTTTTAAAAATTGCCATATAAAGTACAAAGTGATTGATTTAGCTCCTAGTAACGTAGCATTTTTGACAAATGACCTGATTCAACTCATTTGGAAAGATTTCTAAGACGGATGAAATCGCCGCTTACGTTATCACGCATTAATTGTCCTAAATTGGCCAAAACGGCAATGTTTAAACCCCCAATACTTGAAGAAAAATGACCACAGGTGAAACATCTTTTTAAATTTGAGCTCATGACAACAATACCTTTCAGATTATTTTAAAAAATTCCGTCAAAAAAGGTTATTTAAAAAGTCGAAACTTGTATGAAAAAAAAAATCACCCGAGCACAAATGTTCCGTCTCTTTCTTCGAAAGTCGGAACAATAAAAAACTGTACATAACTTTTGGAGCTAAATCAAAATATAAACTCGAGATCTACAATTCCAAGCGGAAATTTTTTTCTGTATTTCATTTTTGTTCGCCAGTTCAATTCAATGTTTTCATTTTTGAACCTCAGACAAGTAAGTGATTTTTTCTCAGAACGACGCAAACTGCCTCAAAAAGGTAAACACAAACTGGACCCAATCACCCACCCCACCAAGAGGAAGACACCCCCCTCCCCACACTCGAACAAAGACAAGAAGAGTACAAATGGGACAGGAGGGGGAGGGGGAGGGGGGAGGAGGGCTTCGAACACTCTGAATTTGGCCCACAAGAAGGAGACAGAGAGACAGAAACAGATGTTCAGAAGCACTCTGGTTGATATACTTATGTAAGTGTTGTTTTTGCACAAACGTCAACTGTGATTCAATGCAACCCCAAGGTTGAAGTTCAAATTCAGTATTAATACAACTCATCGTATCAAATAGCTGGAGATTCTGAATTGTTGAAGTTAGCTGCTGCTAATTTTGCGCATGTACTAATTTGAGGTGTGCGAGGCTGATTACTTTTTGTTATTACCGGGTAATTTCTCTTCAGAGGTAGAATTTTTGATCATTGAGAGCAGTCACAGAATCGAATCAATGTTATCCATCTGATTGGTCCAAGTTTGCCTAAAATTTTATTAGACCATTTTTAAGGTTTGTAAATGCTTAAGTTCGGGGGGAGAATAGTAAACTTGTTGGACATTGGCAAAGCTTCAAATCGCTTAATTGGTCTCTAATCTTGCTTCTTGCAATACCTTTTCTGCTTTTAGACCAAACGGCCAATCTCTTCAGTGAGTAAATCTGATCACCATTTCTTATAAATATTTTGTTGTTCAGCTCATCAAAAATTTTCATCAAATGTTCTTGTACAGGAAATTCTTTTGAATGGCCTTGAACTCTTTTTTCAGACAAGTGCAGGCTGTTGACCCTCAAGGAGAACATGGCGGCTCTCAAGCTGCACGACCCAACCAGGCTGAAAAAGACATGATGGTATGCATGATGAAATGATGCAACCAGGGGCGGATCTAGGATTTTCTAGGGGGGGGGATTTAAAAAGAAATTTTGTCGGCCTTTTTTTAGGTCGACCGTCTTAGCTCTATCAAATCACTATAAAGACCTTATTTTGACCAAATTTTTTGAGCCACAGCCAAAATGGATATCTCAAAATAGTACGAAACGGGACCCTTTCAGTCGGCAGGGGGACGAATCCTTGAGAAAAAAAAGCGTCCCAACCCCCTAAATCCGCTGGTGGATGCAACATGCAGTTTTGTTTCTCTTTCGCGTGATAAATCTTCGGAAAAAAAAAACAGTTTGCTTTTCTCATTAAATTTTTTCATCGGAATTTTTTTTTCTCAAACTTTATTTTTTAATCGAAGTTTTGCAATACTTTTTGTTTAATCGGTGTTTTCTAGAATCTTGTAGTTATTTATTGCAAAAAAGTGACCCCTTTTCCTTCTCCATTCCAGAGGTACCACTACTACATCTCGAATGGGATAGACACAGAACACGTGGCCCCAATGGAGGACAGTTGGCTGCAACACATCATGGGACTGGTGAAGGAACCCCTGAAGAAACACCAGGAGACCATCGAGAACTTATGCGATGAGATCAAAGAGGACTACCTACTCAGTGTGAAAAAGGTTAATATTATTATTAACTGTTAATTATTAATTAAGAAGGTTTGTTTTTTACCATTTGAAACGTTCAAGGGTCATTGGTACTATCGAAAAAGACTGCATGCTCAGAGTCAAGAAGGTTATCGTTATTAACTATTAATTAAGATTATAATTCTCAATTATTAATTAAGACGTTTATTTTTTACCTTTTGAAAAACATGCTTCTTGTAAATCATACTTTTCAGTAAAGGCCTGTAGGCTAAAAACTGAAAATCAAACATTCAATGTTCATTGGTGACACGAAAGAGGACTACTCACTCAGTCTCATGAAGGTTAAAGATATTTTGAGGTCAACTTTATTTTACAGCTCAGAACAATACCAATCCCTCTCTTTCGAAAACAACTCGAGAGAGCGTTACAGAAAACTTTTCGTCCCTATAACTTCATAATTTGGGAAACCAGGACGCAGCTTGTTTTTTTTTCTACATACGTAGTTACGGAGACTTTTGAGAATCAAAATCATAAAGCTAAAATGTAAAAATGTGTATTCATTCAGTAAATTGCTGCTTCAATTAAAATTTGAGAAAAAAAACATGTCGTTTTGAACAATTTTTGCAGTGTAACTTTGAAAATATCGATTGAAACCATGTTTTTTTGCAAGCAAAGCAAAAACTCAAGTTTTGAATCAGTTCCGTTTTTGCAAAATTTATCTGACTTGAACAACTAATTTGAAAGTATTTCTTCGCATCAGGCCATTGTTGACTTTGTTCTCAACGACCCCTCGACCACCAACGGTCTATCCCAGCCGGGGGGACCCTCTAGACCCCAGACAGCTTCCCAGCTGACAGCCAGGATCAAAAGTGCACCTAGGAAGGAGGGGAAAGAAGGAATGGACGGGGATGAGGGGGGGATGACGAATGAGAGACGGAAGGAAATTGTGGTGTATTCTTCCATTCCTGCTTACAAAGAGGAGTAAGTTAACTTTTTCTTTGACTCTTTAAACTTTGATTCGCAACAAGTTTATAGTGATGTGCGAAACTCATGTTAGTATGAAATAAAATATTATATTAAAATTGAAAATAGGAAAAATTGAGAAAAATTTTGCTGAAAAAAATATCAAAAAATGTCAATTTCTAAATCTATCGATTCTTCTCGACTCCAAATAAATTTTTGGATGTTTAAAACAAAATTTTCTCAGAAAATTTCTTCGTGATGTGGTTGAAACAAAAATCGTGCTTTCTGCTATCTGTTAAAGCTGTAGGTTATGCGTTTTGTATTTTATTACAAATACTTCGGATCTTAACAACTATTTCCACACATATGGCATAGAATTGCAAACCCTATAAAAACCAACTAAACGGCTGAGCATATGAGAGTTTTGTACCTGGTAATGAATATCCCCCTTGTAATAGAAGGGATATAGAAAATATTTAACAAGATCAAAACCTTCAAATATTGTGTCTTTTCTCTGTTCATAGACTGTCGGTGGTTCCTAAGCCGTGGGAGCGTACTTTCTACCAGGCCAGGAATGTGATGATCAGTGAGCTGAATGTGGTCAACCCCTGCATGAACCAAGTGCTCAACATGTGGTACCAACACTACGAGTAAGCATCTTATTGGTTCATTATGCCAATTTGAACTTGAAATGTAATATGTATGTTTACAAAATATGCAAATTTGAAATGAAATAATATGTTTTTTTTTCAAAACACAAAAAGAAATCATAGAAAATGATAATAAAATGTAGATCTCCCCTCGACAAAAACATTTTGAAACAAGGATAGCCGGTTACTGTGCAAGTAGCACAGAATGTTCGGACCATAGTCCTTAGAAAACTACGGTTTAGAAATTTTTTTCCAACTAAGTGAAGTTTTTTACTGCTTGGTTTATAGTTTTTCTGATGAAAAACTATAATTTAAGCACGTTAGACTGTCATAGTAATATAGTCAAATTTGACAAAAATTTTGTAGAAAAATTACAAGAAAAACTACAAAAAAATTTTTTTTTTAAAATTTTTTCCAATACTTTTTGCTGAAAGTTGCAAGTCTTAAGTTAGGCACAAATTAGGAATTTAAATTGTTGCAAGCCTGCTTGCTTGCTTTATTTGCTCGAATTTTGACGAAAAACTAAAAATTTTGTGCTGGTTTTTCTCTACACAAGAAAAACAAATTGCGAATTTTTTAATGTGATTCGAATCACGACTGAAAGGGCTTTAATATGATATATCAATTAACCCAGTCCGATAATTGTTTGAGGTACCTGATTTTGCGCGGAAAAAGAACTAAAACACACCCAAAAACAAAGTTCTTCCTCATTTTCAGTGGTTAAAAAACGCGTTTTTTCACTGTTGATTCATAAGTTAATTTCATTCTCTTATGATCATCCTTCACAAGCCGATAAAGAACAAAGTGATAGATGGAGCAGTACTTGCTTTAAAAAGATTAATGAATCTTCCAAAAACATTTTATTTGGGGAAAAATGCTGATTTTTTTTCTGAAAAACTATCCATCCACACGCCATATAGAGTACCAAATGATTGATTTCACTCTTAGTAATATAGCATTAATGACAAAAAGCCCCGCTTTAACCAATTTGAACAATTTCCAAGACGAAACAAGTCTGCTCATATATCAGGGCGAAGCGAGTTATAGGAATGCAATATATTGCGCATTAAATCAATCAAAATGGCCAAATTAGCAAATTTCAATCCTGATAATTTTACGAAAAAGATTACGAGCCAATTTTTTTTTCAAATTTGAACTCAATATTTTTAGCAACATCATTTTTCAGATGGTATAAAAAGTTTCCGTCAAAATTGGCTAAAGAAGAAGTCGAAATTGAATGAACAAAAACAACCACATAAAGCATAAATATTCCGCACATTCTTCAAAATACGGAACAAAAAATCTCCTCTTCAATATACCGCGCGTTAATAATCCAAAAATTGGCCAAATTGGCATTCTTTAAGCCCCTGTTTTTACAAAAAACCATCACAGGTGGATTATCTTTAGATATTTGATCTCAGGGCAACAATACGTTTTAAATAAAAAATCCCGTCAAAATTGCTAGTTAAAAAATCGAAGTTTGTCTGGAGCAAAAAACCACCCTGATACAAATATTGCGTCAACTGCTTCGAGAGTCGGAACAACAATCAGTTCAAATAGCCGACCGATTTGCAAATTGTAACGATTTCTGAGCCGGATGAATTTGGCTCTTACGTGTTATAGAGCAAAATAAATCGCTCTATACTTGACCTAAATTAGCCAAATAGGCAAATTTCAAACCAGCATATCAACACGACAACTTGAGCTCAGGATATCAATACTTTTCAGACAATAAAACAAATCCACCAAAAGTGGCTTATTGAAAAGTCGAACTTTGTATGAAGAAAAAACAACCTCCAGGACAAATGTTTCATTACTTTTATCGAAAGTCGAAACAAAAAACGTTTTTTTAGTAGATGGCTGACTGTTTTGAAAGAAAATTTAGAGAGCTGCGCTAGGCAATTTCGGAAAATCACTATTCCAGTCGGAAACATACGTTTGCGTAACAAAGAAAGTTTTATTCCACTGAAAATTTACTTTGTTTCTCGCCACACATAACCACAAATGTTACGTGAAAAGCATGTAGTTTTTAAGTTTTTTTTCAATCAGCTGCAATGGCTCGCGCAAAGGTGGGATATGAAGCTTACGAGTCGCCTAAAGTCGCACCGTTCTTTTTTATTGCATAAAATCGCGACTCATCTCATCCGAATTTCGCCTAGTCCACCTAGTTCCGCCGAAAACTGCGTTTCACGAAAAGTCGCATTTTATTTATTTGATTGCGCTGAATCGCGAAGATGTTTGCGCTGAATCGCGAAGTAAAATCCTGACATAGCTCTGATGGGTCGAAAAAAAATTGGACAGAATTTGAGTAGCAAAGAGTCGCAACGCCGCCGCATTTATTTTTTGATTGGCCACAGCCGTTAGAATAACCGTATTGTGCCCATTTTGATTCGCGGTGGTCGCAAAATAAGTTGCTTGGGTACCTCAGCCTAGGTCGTTCAACTACAAATGTCCAATATTCTTATTTGGTGAGCTGATTGATGAAATTGTTAATAACTAAGTCAAAATTCAAAAGATCCGTGCTTTAGGACTGTTTTTGAACCCTGCCATGTTGCTTGAGGGTGACTCAACATTTCCAAGCCTATAAAAATTGTCAGGCAAATTAATTTGGTCATGGAACCAGCAGTGTTTTGGCTTAGAGTACAACATCAGATTTTTTTCTAAAACTACCGTCAGGTTCACAAACTAGCGTCTATGCTGTTCTCCCCTTTTTAAACAAATGATCTTAATATTATTTATCTTTTTTCTAGTAAGATGCGTTTCGTGGATGCTTCTGAGTTCTCCAAGATGTCTCATGCTTTGGAACTGGCTTCTTTCCAGGGCATAGTGAACAAACACATCGATAGTACCAAAGAACGACTCCAGAAGAGGTAATCAACCTTTTTTGTTGTTTTGTATAATTTTTTAAGTTTGCTAGTTTGCTACAAGAACAAAAACAAACAAAATGACTGAAAATTGGAAAATTGAGTTTGGTTATTAATATCAAATTCTGTTTTAAGTTCTGCTCGGGTCTAAGATTCGTACCAGATTTTGAATTCTGATGTACGAACTTTGCAAGAACTTTTTATTTCTTTTCAATATATTAGGTTGTTATAAGATTTTAAACTGAACGTGATATTACTAGTTTTTAAACTGAACGTGATATTGAACGTGAGTCCAAGTTCTTAGACCCGAGCAGAACTTGAAACAGAATTTGATATTAATAAACCAAACTCGATTTTCCAATTTTTAGGCATATTTTTTGTTTTCGTAGCAAACTAGCAATATTAAAAACTATGTGATGTTTGTTTTCCAGCTGGTTCCCCGAGATCCAGAACTTCTACTTCCAAGGATCCAAGAGACGCACAGTGCCTAACAGTCACAACCCCAAGAAACTCCAATGCTTCTTCAACTGTGCGGCCGCGCTGATGACCAGAAATCTGCAGGTGTTAGGAATAAACTCCATTCTGGACTACACTGACTTGTTGTGCAAACATGAGGTCAGATTTTTCTGAGTATTTTTTGTTGCTCTGCTAGCTGAAAAATCGCTTTCACTCTAAAAAAATTATCTTGAAAATTTATCCGACAGGTTTCGTGTGATGCAAAAAATCGTGTAAAACTCTCAATTCTTCAGTATATCGAATGATTTTTCACGCGGTAAAAAATAACCATGTGCTAAAAAATCGTGTGAAAAATCCAATGTTGCAAAAAAGCTACTTAATTCGTTATTATGCGTTTCCATCAAAATGAAAGTCGAATCTAAAATGATATTTAGTGCCATTTTGAAGACTTAAAAAACATTATACCAGCGAGATTATAATTCATACTGTTTAAACCTTACTCATTTAAACCTATCACTAAAAATTTTTGTTTTATTTTATCACTTTAATATACTCATTATAATTATACTCATTCGCTGTTGCTTCTAAAAAAGTACTTCAATCCTTTAAACTTCTTGATCTACAGATTAAGATGTAGAGATGACTTGCTTGCAACATATCGCTTGGAATGGTAGAAACTAATTACTCACCATATGTTAAATTATATAAAGTAAGAGATATCGATTTCGGTTTTGAGCTAAATTAATGCCCTGGTGCATTAGTTTGTTATGCAAACCAGAGTTTAAACTGCTTTTTCCACTATATTGAAATTATTACTACCCCGAAGTTATGAATAGATGAATCTTTTCAAATATATTGGGTAAATTGTGCAAAGCGGACACAGACTTTCGCGAACCATGTCCAGATGTTCGCGACCAAATTTTGCTATGTTCAGATTTTCACGACCCATGTCCAAATTTTCGCGACCAAATTTTGGTATGTCCAGATTTTCGCGACCAAATATTGGTATGTCCAGATTTTCGCGGCCCACGGCGCGACTCATGTCCAGACTTTCCAGACTCAAACTCTCGGAGCGAATATGCAATATGGGTCTAAATCCGGATGCGGCGCGACCCTCAAAGTTTGGACATGAGTCTGGGACCTCGACTCGGGTTCCTTTCAGAAAAGTTTTGCCTTAGTAACAATATTGGGACTAGTTTGGCATTCTTTGTTTGAACTTTTTCGGTAAACTGAAACTATCATCAGCTTACGCAAAAAAAGCTTATGGGGTAGCGATAATCAAACAATTTCATGATTTTACCAATTGCCTCAAAATAAAGAAGCAACTTCAAGTTTGACTGAAGTCTTTTTAAATTAAGCATTGTTGAAAGGTTGGTTTTTTGCTGTTGAGATAAAAATAAAAGATGTAACTATTTGTCTTAATCGTACAATAAAATTCATTCAAACTTGTTTTTATCAAGTTTTTTCTTTACTATGTTTTAAATTTTATTTTTTTGTTCGTGTTTTTGGACTGCAAATTTGACAGTAGATAGAAAACAAAAAACAGAAAAAAGCTGTCAAAACTTCCGGGTTGAAGTCCCACCGGTAATTATCGTTTTTTCTGCAGTATCCCAATGATCGCAATTTTCCTATTTTCCGCCTGCGATATTTCAGAGCTATATCAGTAATGATTCCGTCAAAAATCAGCGCTACAAGTTAAAATTTTTAAACTCATTCTAGTAGCTTTCAAATGAGAGTGTGAGTTGATGAGCCATTTAACTTGATTAAATACAAAAGGCTTAATGGCGCAGAGGTAGCATGCATGTCTCAAAGCTGATGGTTGCCGGACCGAACCCCAATAGGTAACAATTTTTGCTCATTTTGATAGGTTTTTTATCGTTGTTTCATCGCTGAAGTTTTGCCAAATTTGTGTCAATCTATCTAAAAAATTGCTATTGTGGCGATGTACATCGATAACTCATCGATGGCGAACGCTGTTTTGGCTCTAATTTGCTCTCCCCCAGCAGCCGAAGTTTAACTAGAAAAATTTTGTTCACATTATCTAATTATTACAAAAATTGGTCTAATTAGGTTATGAAAAACATATTTGGTCTTCAAGTTTAACCTTAAAATTCCTCGTTACAACAAAACTGATGCATATGTGAGGTTGGGGAAAAGAAAAAAGAGCAACTGCAACTGTTTTTTATTCACTTCTTTACCGCTAATACTCAATGTGAGCTCAACCCGGTTGGTCCAACTAATTGATCATAAACTATGAAACTCCGAAAAATAAACACCTTCCAGTTCTATTTTGCTAGGCATATATGCTTCAAATTAAGCAAAAAAATGATTTGTAAGCAATTTTATCAATTAATTTAAAATTTGATAAGAAATCATTTTGAAATCAAAAAGAAATGGATTTTGCTGAGAGAATAGTACTGGAAAAACTCAACTTCGGATATTTTTGAATGTTATTCATAAATTGAAATTTTCTAATTCTTCTGGTCCTTTTCAGTTTGTTTTTCAATACAAATGTCTACCATTTTCTTCCCCTGTAAATAGAAAACTGGGTAGGTTTTATTTTATATGACATAATTGTTTCGGTCAGGCCCCACACCATTTACTGAGGGTGAGAAGAAACTATTGCGTAGGGTGAGAAGAAACTATTAAATTAATTTAAATTAGACGAATTTGATCAGAAGCTGACCTCCCATAGTTTAGTTTTTCAACAAGTCTACCATTATCGTATCATTTTTTATCCTTCATTCTATCTCTTTTTGAACCAATTTAGTCACCTGTTACAAATCAAAAATACAAAAAAGTAAACTGGAGAAAACATGAAAAAAATTAAAAATAAATTTCTTCTTATCAGCTAGACATAATCATTGTGTTCACAACATTATGTGATACTTTCACAGTAACCGATATGTCAGGTTATTACTTGTTTCTCTTAAATTCCCCGACTGCATTTTATAGTAGACACGGTTTTAATTGCGAGTTTCGAAAATTTAAAATTAGAGAGTAATTTTTTTCACAGCGACAGCAATAAATTAGATTGTTTCTTTAACAAAACTACCAAATTTTATTCACTAACCGTTTTTTTTATACCTTTTGGCCTTGACGAAATCCAATGAACAAGAAAAAATACTACGAAAATGGTTTGCATACTGAATTTATGAGAATCTTACCCAGATCCAGGTGCTCGGCTTATTTTTGAATTTGAAAGTCGAGTAGATATAGTTTGGCGACTAAAAAATTGCCGACAAAGGCAATTTTGAGTTCAGTATAAAAACGATCATAGCCGATTTAGCTTCAAAAAGTCCAAAGATTGTTTAAATTGAATCAAAATAAAGTTCGAGCAAAATTGCAAACTTAGTTGAGAACATTCAAAACATGGGTTCAGCTCATTCGAAACATGGGTCCAGCACAATCGAACCCTTGATCAAGCTCAGTCAAATTGTATAAAGGGGATTCCTTAACAATTGGAGTTTTCTTTGATTTTATATATGGAATTTAGAGAAAATGGCTCAAACGTAGTGCAGCTGCAATTACTACCTCATTTCTTTAATATTTTGCTCCTTTCGATTCCCCGACTTACTAAATAGGCCAAACAGGCTGTGAATCCAAGTGAAAAAAGCAAAAAAAATGTATAATTGCGCTTAAAACTGCGCTGTCAGAATTAGCCGCATATAATATTGTATCGTATCGTAGGCAAGATTGCTTCGCAAAAACAGCTCTAATTATTCTCATGATAGAGGACCAAATCGGTGCATACACAAAACAATTCCACTCAAAACAGTCCAAAAAGATTTGGAATGAAAAGGAAAAAACAATTCGATACAAAAGAGTCCATTTTAAGGTCGCCGGTTGGCGCGTTGTCGCTTTGCAGCGATAAGTTAGGGTTTCTAATTTTTGCATAGAGTTCTACCCTGTGTTAGCAAGCTCGCAACGCAATGGCGCGACTGCGGCGATCACTATTTTGTTGTTTGTTGTTTAAAAAATGAAAAAAACTTGAAAAAAATTTTTGCTCAAAAAAACTGTATCAAAATGTCAAGTATCTTAATCCCATAATAATCGAGACTCCAATTTAACATGATACCTGCAATAACAAAGTAGTATTTGGAATTTTCTGGTAGTATTTTTAATCAAGGAAGCACTATCCTCTGGCAGAACAGTGAACAAATTAAAACTAAATAAACAGCTCATTTTAAAATGCTTGTGCCATGATCTCGAAAAACGTTTTTTAGAAATAATAAAAAAATGAGTTAATATGGTGTTGGTAACTCATAGAGTAATTTCGGATAGGGTACACCGTCTGCTCGTCACGCTATCTTATTTTCGGCCGGATAGATTCGTGCAACTTCTTAGTCTAATACCGATCCTAATCTTACTCTTATATCTACTAGTCTCAGGGTGTTTAACTAGTCTCTGCTAGGCTCAATAGATCTAGAGTATACTGGCTTATTGCGGCAGCTGAAGTTCTCTTGGAGAGGCAACTAATTTCTAAGTTAAATTCAAATCTCTCTGGTGCTGAAATTACAAGTAATTTCAGCACTTACAAATAAGTGGGTTGTTAGTTGGATGGATTATGATTGGTTAATATTAAATACTTTACAGTGGTAAAATATCTAATTTATCCAATAATAAAATGTAGTTTAGATCAGGTTCCACCCATCCGGGTTTTACAGAGTTTTTAGAACTATCTTTCCTCTCTGCAATTTGAAGGATGGATGATGAACGCTGGTATTTGGCGAACATCATTTTCTTATCCGGTTCCTCTTGGGGAAGAACGTTCCAGGACGCTGGAATCAGGGATAGGAAACTGTTATTATGTCGTTCGACAACGAATGTGATCCCCAATGAAATCAATCCGATTTCAAAATGGTTTGCTATGACGGGTTTTTCTGTATTATGTAGAGAACTTGTTTTGTGTGCAACCTCGTCTGAGAATGGCGTGAAGATCGAGTGTGGAAGGGATGCCTTGTAACTCGGATCTGTACGTATACTTGAACATCGAGGTGGTCATTGGTCTAGTTCAATGAAGTCCTTTTCTGCGAAGTCAAGTCGTACTCTAAATCCTCTGAGTCGTGATTGTGGACGGCATGTCGGTTGTGTTTAGCCATTCTTTTGTGCGAGTGTGATGGGATCATCTAGTCTTTGGATGTTCGTCTTTGTTGTTG